CCAGGATTACGGGCCCATACCAGGGGGCCTATAGTTCCAGCCCCTACATACGAGCCGCCAGACCCAAATGGAAACCCTAAACGAAGAGGTTAAAGACTTCCAGGACCCATCGGCAGAGCTGCGGAGGCTGTTGAAAGAGGCATGGTTTCCCCCCAGAACCGCCCAAACGGGTAATAGGGGCCCAAATAATTACCAATACTGGTAGGGTTTAGGGTTTAGGGTCTCTTTGCTAGGTAGCACTTTCGGATGAAGAATATTATCGCCTATGGTGGTAGAAGGGCCTTTATTCACAGACAGATTTAGGGGCTTTTGAAGTGCCACCCAGCTTGATTCTGGGTTTTGCACTTTTGGGGTCTCGGTAGTTTGTAGATACCCTCCCCCAGCATAACATGAAACCCTTCGAAGGGACGGTATAGAGTTGTATTTGGGGCGATGTGCATGGGGATGTAGAAGGTCTAGGGCTCATACTCCCCTTGAATGGCAGCTGACATGGAAGCCTATATAGGCAACTTTTAAATGGACAATTCCCTTTGCAACGCCCTTTTAGGGTCCATATTAGTTTGGGGGAGGGTCAGAAACTCCAGAGAGTAGGGGAGGGGGCTTCAGGGTTTGGCGTTTGAGGTTTTTAGGTGACATTGTTGGATGCTGAGTTCTCGATTTACGGCTCCGGCCTTAGGACCTTAAAGGACTTGGGCTTTGGGATGAGGAAGTTTTTGGTGGGCATGTCTTAGCTTCCTCCGGAATATCAGTGAGTGTACATGGGTTTATGGTTTATGTGAGTCCAGTCTAGTCTAGTCCCGCCTCACAAAATTGTTCTACCTGAAAGTTATGTAGCCTGCAGAAGATTGTTCCCTTCTGGGCCTCAGGTAACAACAGTGTTCCCATGAAAGACCCCTGATGTTGACGACTGCCCATGCGTATCCATAAGAGCCACAAAGAGCGAGCACTTTTGGGGCTCGTGGAGCCAGCCCAGAAACCTGTTCCCGAGCTCAAAACAGCGGGATGGGGGTAGGTGGGCTAAAGGATCTCTATGGTAGACTCTATCCTGTTGGAGCTAAGTTAGTCTACCTCACCCTCCTTTACCCAGAACCCTGGTAAAACCAAAAACCTGCGCACCAGTTCAATTCTTTCCGCCAGAACAGGAGGTTTCTGTATGTTGGCTTCCTTTACTGTGGCTTCTAAACCTTCAACCCCCAAACCCCAAACTCCAAAACCCCTCAACCGTCGACGCTACGATTGCCGTTCCTACTGCTAGTTGTATTCGTATTAATTACTTCTATACTATAGCCATCGCTAGTACTACGTCGATTATTGGTTCAAAAAGTGACTATCACCATTCCCCAGTGTTTTGGAAGTGCGTCTACCAACTGTGCAACTGAGACCCTAACCTGTGAACGCTAGACCCGATATCCGGAACCCTAGACCCGAAAGCTTAAGCCCTAAACTGCAGCTACAAATCCCTTGGCGGAGGCAGAGCTTGCGCTGAAGAAAGGTGATGCCAGGCGCCAAAAATTGGGACCACGGGCAGGGACGACGGTTAGGGATTGCAATCTGGGGTTTAGGGTCAACAGGGCTTAGGAGGGATTGTAAAGGTGGAAGCTACAGCCTCGCAATTCTGGTTTTACATCAGACCAATATGGAGAACCAAATGGAAAACAAAAATGGAAGCTGGGGCCTGGGGCTATATGGGGTCGTACAGGACCTGTGTAATGTAGAAGCCTGAGTATATCTTAATGAATGGACAAGAAAATGGGTAAGAGTGCTGTGTGGCTTGTGGCTGAGGGATTTCAAGGAGAAAAGAGAAACACATTGCAAAGACAAGTAGAATTGACTTGGACATGGGTTAAACCTTAAACCCTACGCCTTAAACCCTACTTAGAGAGTCAGGGGGAATTAGTTAGTAGGTTCTTAACTCCTATACGCCATATAATAAACCCAAATATCCCCATTATCGCCCTACCTACTAAGTCTCCATGACCCTCCAACCCTAAATTCTAAGCCTCTAAGCCCTGCGCAATCATGCTTCTCTGACTGCTTGTACAGGTGGAAAAGAGGCGCCGCCAATAAACAAACCTGAATAATACGTAGTAGCTTCCATTACCAAGTCCGAATGACCGACCCTCCAAGTAAACCCTAAAACCGTAAACCCTAAACAATATGTAACAGCTTCCATTTTCTTTTCCATTGTTCTTGTAAACCCTACAAGGCCCTAAGCCCTAACCTTCCAATCTCTGCCCCCAAAACCCTAATCCCTAAACCCTAATTTCTAATCCCTAAACCCTCAACCCTGATTCCTAATCCCTAAACCCTAAACCTTGCGCCTGTACCCAAAGCCATGTTCCATCTACATAAGGGGGGCCTACCTGGACCCAAAAATAGGCAACAAAATAGCCCCAAATCCATAAAAATGGCCCAAAAACCATTCATTCTACATACTTTTGGGGTTCAAGCCTAAATCCGGAGGCGTGCCTTGGACTTCTCCCGCGGAGCTTCAGCAGCGGCCCAGCGAGCGAAGGAGGAGGCGATGGCGCAGGCTGGATTTAGGAATTAGGGTTTACGTTTTAGGGATTAAGGGATTAAGGTTTTAGGGTTTAGGGTTTTGAGGTTTAAGGTTTAGGGACTAAGGTTTAGGGATTCGGGTTTAGGGATTGGGGGTTTAGGGAAGTTTAGGGTTTAGGGATCAGGGATTAGGTTTGAGGGTTTAGGGATTAGGGTTTAGGGATTAAGGATTAGGGTTTCGGGATTAGATATTAGGGTTTAGGGATTAAGCGTTATGCCTTCGGGATTAGGGATTAGGGTGTAGGGATTGGGGCTTATGGTTTCGGGGTTAGGGATTGTGCTTCCGGGATTAGGATGTATAGGGTTTAATTAGGGAGATTTCGCCAATAGTGGAAAATCGAATGGTAAAGGCAGTCGAAAATCACATGGCAACTCCTGTTGAGGGTTTAGGGTTCAGCGGTACTACAATAACGGAGAATCAAATGGCAAAGAGCATGGAAAATAAGCTCCTAACCTGTAAATCTACAGCATACAACTTGACGCTTTAACCTCGAAACCCTTAAGCGAAATTCCTACAAGACACTGAAACCCAAACACCGCAAAACCTCAAACCTTTGTTTGAAAAGAGCCATAACCCTGCAACCCCCAAACTCTGAAACCCTAACCATTCATCGTAAAAGAGCCCTAAACACTAAACCCTAAACCCTAAACCCTAAATCCTAAATCCTAAATCCTAAATCCTAAACCCTAAACCCTAAATCCTAAATCCTAATCCCTCAGCCCTGAATTGCAGGAGCTTCCAAAATCCGACCCCCTCTTCCGCGCACCTCCGCGGCCGCCAGCGGATGGATCCAAGGCGGGAAGCATTCCTTACTTGGGGTAAGTAGGTTAATAACCCCTATAACCCAAATAGTAACCCCAATCATCCCCATTATTAACCTACTTACTAAGTCCCCCCGATCCTCCAAGTAGGGTTTAGGATTTGAAGCTGAAGGAACAACTGTGTAGGCTTCGTTCGGTGCTTGAACTTAGTTAGGCC